GCTACTACCGGGTAAAAGAATAATAATAATAATAGAGAGCCCGAACAGAAATAGAAAAGAACACTGCACAGATTGAATGGTCTGTTAGTACATCCAAGGTGATGCTGCGATGGTGTCACGGTTAGCGCGCCGGATTTATTATCAACAGTTGGCTCGCTCGATCGCCCGACGCGGATCGTTGAAACGATTGACACATTTCTGAAATCCACCCACATCCCTGCGCCACCCGGCAATCTAAATGAGCGCATCATGACAGTTCATCAATCGTGAGGTCGGGGTCGTGCGGTGGGGGCGGAGAGGGTGAACTGTGGGTCACTGCCATCACTCCCAATGCCCGGGCAGCGTGGAAGAGTAGGCGAAAATACCCTCTCTCTGGGGGGGGGGGGGGGGGGGGGGGACACTCTACAGCAACTCTCCGGAACTGTGAATAGGCCATTCCGCCAGAAGTGGCGCGAGTAGGCGATTCTGCAGGGGCTACACCTTTTCTCATTTACGCATTACCACTGTAGCCGCCGTGCAATTCGCGTCTCGGCATCGGCCATGCGTGAGACTTCGCCGCGCCTGCTCGCGTAGTTCTAAGTGGTTAGTGTGTCCGCACAATGAGTGGCATTGCGCGGTTTAAGTGGCACGCAGGGCCCTGTCTCACCCTTGACATTTAAGCGAATAGAACAGCAGCCATGCATCGCGTCTGCCTGATTTCAAGAAGATTAAAAACAAAAAAATCACACAGCCTTGTGGTTCTTTGTAGTTGAATATACAACGGTGGGTTTTCTTTTCCAACCCCCCCACCGCCCCAGTTCGCCTGCAGGATTGTGTTAATAAAAAAAATAATGTAAAAGTACAGCCAGGTTTTGTTATTCCACTGCTGGATGTCGAAGGCCTCCCCCACATCTTGTGGGCAGTGACGGATATTTTGACCATACTTCACCACGCTGAATCAGTGCGCGTTGTTTACGGTGTGTGGGTTGGGGGGAGAGTACAGATGAACTTTGCTGCATTGCCCTCTATTGCCCACAATGCCTATTATAGCTGTCTTTCTGCCTACGGCACCTGTTCATCCATCCATGCAACATCCAGGTTCAATCCCGCCTAGCTTCTGAGACATGGCAGATTACAGTAATCTGTTCTCGCGTATGACAACATTCCCATGAGTTAAATGTCATCGTTGAGTGAGGTCTGCTCGCAACGATAGGGCTTTCGGGAGAGAGTTGGTGTCTTCTTTGGTTCTTTCGGTAAAGTCACGTAGAATGGGAATAAAATAATAAATTGATAAAATAAAATAACACAATAATATTCTCACGACGTTTCGGCCACAACACAAGCGGCCTTCATCAGGTGAAGGGACGAGACTGTCTGGAGGACAGTGCTGGAGTGAGAGAAGCCACGCTTAGATCGCGACCTTTAAGCTGTGTGAGAAGAAAAACAAAGCGCCTTGACAAAGGAATTAGCATATAATTTAGCATTGAAATGGCTCATTGAAATAGCTAAGTTAAAGTATACACATCCGCAGAGGTACCCCTTGACAAAGGAATTAGCATAGAATTGAAATAGCTGAATGATTACCTTGCAACTGGTCACAGAAATATTATTATTTTATTCTCATTCTACGTGACTTTACCGAAAGAACCAAAGAAGATGAATCATTGCAGTCACGAAAGCTTTAAATCGAGAGTTGGTGTCGTTACGATATCCCTCCGCTCATAGCCTGAGTTGCATGGGCGCAGTCGCATGGTGGCTTGTCTTTAATTTTCAGTTTACGGAGGAGATGGATGTGCGCGCATTGGCCTCTTGGTGTTCTGACGTTGTTAATAGCGTAGTAATAGTATTCACACGCCGTGGCTATACCTGCTCAAGGTGAGCCCAGGATCACACTGCCGGGGTGGATTATGTGTTGTTGATTATTAGACCTCGAAGCAGAGTGATACGCATGAACACCTCGCTGTTCGTTATTAGTCTACCAAACTTTTAATTGTTAACGCTTTTTAACTCCTCGGGTGACATGAACTACTGTATCTTAAGCGTCTTATATAAATGGGTTGATTGTGTAATCTTATATTTTTTTATGACTAAAAGGCCATGTTACTCAACAGCTACTAATATTTAACTATTCGTATGCCAATTTAAAAGTGTTAATTTAAAAAAAAAACTTTTAATGCAATTCTCATCAGGCCCAATGTTGTGAAATGCAGTTTCCAACCCTTATCCACTCTCTTTGGACCCTTCATTGATGTGCTATGATGAAGTGCCAGCTCGTTCACAGTCGCCTCCTAACTTTGTTGGGTTTGAAAAGGCATCTTTATTTTTAATTTAGCGAATGTACAATAGTTTATATTATTAATATTTATATAATTCTCAAGTTTCAAACTTGAAAATACGTTAAATTAACGTTCATTCTGCATTTAAGAAGCATTTAAATCCTCCGGGTTTTCACTCCACATTTAGAAACATGCGTTGAGATCGTCATCAGGACGATTGGTTGTGTTGCGATCGAAACGTCGTGATATCAGGACGATTCTAGATTTGAAGCTTTCGTGACTGCAAGGATCCATACTCTTTGGTTCTATTCGGTAAAGTCACGTAGGTAAAATCACGTACGTGACTTTACCGAATAGAACCAAAGAGTATGGATCAGGACGATTGCTTGTGTTGTCATCAAGACGATTGCTTGTGTTGCGATTGAAACGTCGTGATATTTTTATTTATTTTGTATTCACTTTATTTTCATTTTTATTATTTTATTGTTATTATATATTTTTTTTCTATCTCCGTGACTTTACCGAAAGACCCAAACAAAAGGTTTGTATCCTTTTTTCAGAAAAGAGTCTGTGTTTTATAATGCGGTAAGTGTGTGTGTGTCTAGATTATCGACAACTTTATTCACACCGAGCACACGTTTGTGGTACGTCTTACTTTCCAGAGCGTCTTATAATGCGGAGAATATGCTAAAGTGTTTTTTTTTCTTGCTCGCCGAGGTCGATCCAGTTACTGCGATCCAACACCCGCGTCACTTTGTCCAACATCGCCACCTGCTGTGCGCGCTCGATAATTGCATGGAGTTCACTTCATAAAGGCAAAGGAATCGATTGCTCCAAGAGCGCACGCGTATTTCCACTTAATTCAATCTCAATTGTCATCAATAAAATATATTAAAATCCCCCCCCCCAAAAAAATATAAAGATCATGCTATTTTCTTCAAGCAAAGTTACAGTTTAATTCTCTTCACATATTACATATATCAGAAACAACATCATTGGAAAAAGAGAGTGCTTCAAATACTTCGATTTACTGATTGATGAAAAACTTACATTCCAACCACAAATATTGATCCCATCTTAAAGAAAATCAAATAAAAATAGGGTTTTTGTACCGAAACAAACATGATGTTCCCATTTGATGGCTCGTACAAATTGTTGAAGCTATCATTCTATAACTGTTTTGACTACTGTGGCGCTGCTTAAAGATCAGCTATTGATGAATCACTAAATACACTAAACACGCTTTATCATTCTGCTCTTCTATTTACAGTCGATGTACCATACAGCACCCATTGTTGAGACCTCTACTTAAAATCCAATCTCAAATCACTCGATGAAAGAAAACATCTACACTGGGCCCTATTCATTCACAAAATCCGTATTGGAAAATCTCTGCTATACTTAGCTCATAGGGGCCGTCCATAAATGACGTCACGCAACTAGGGGGCGGGGGGGGGGGGTCAGACATTTGTGACGATGCGTGATGAGGGGGGTAGGGGGGGGTGATGTCACATCAAAATGCGCATCTTTAAATAAATATAGACAACACGTTCTACTTAATTAAATAGACTTATAAATAAAGGTTTTCTCCTACAACATCAGAGTGCAGCGCCACAATAAATACGCACTACAATGACAATAGTTTAAAGCGCTTTGAAGCATGTTTCATTTTGGGGGGGAGGAGAGCTTTGTGACGTCATATTTGAGGGGGGGGGGTCTGACTTTTTGTGACTCCGTGTGACGATGGGGGGGGGGGGTGGTCAAAAATCGTCCAAAATCGCGTGACGTCATTTATGGACGGCCCTATACATTGTCAAATCCAAGAAACCTAAGACGTCCATCTAATTGCCTTTTAACCATCTCAAGAACAAGAATTGGAATAGGTGACAAAGGCTACGCTGTTGCAGCACCAATGTTGTGGAACAATCTTGTTCCCTCCCTTCTGAAGCAGAAGTATAGTGCTGGGTATACAACTACATTTGCCCATGTGATTTGTATATCCAGCACTAATCTTCTGCTTACAAATCACATTTGCCAATGTGCCAATGTGATTTGTAACGTTGATCCTTACCCATGTATCGATAGTAAAACAAAAATGTATGTTCAATTTTTTTGAGGGGACTGTGTGTTGTCTTGGTATGGTCTGGGACTGTTTTTGTTTTGCTGCGTTGCATTTGGTGTTGAAAAATCTCTAGGAATTGATGTGTAGATGGTCCTCGACTTACGAACATCTACACTTAAGAACCAGCTTCGATTTTTTTAAATCGACTTGCAAACTTTAACTTGCACTTGCGAACAGAACCGTGGGACTATTTTGTTCAGCGGAGCGATCCTCTGTGAGATGTAATGATTCACAACAACCCGCTGGGAGTACGTTTTACTGTGTGTGTGTACGCGCACGGATGTGTGTGTGGTGTGTGAAAGTGAGTGAGTGTGCGTGTGTCTGTGCGTACCCTCGTGTACACTGTTTGGGGGGGGGGGGGAGATGTAATGCAATGGCTAGCACGCTGCGCTACCAACCCGGCGACCTGAGTTTGATTTCCGCTCACGACCAGCACCAGTGACGTTATCTGAATGGGTCCTAGACCTCCCCTAGGTCGACTCAGCCTCAAATGAGTGCCTGGTCGGGTGTGTAAACATCGCCACTGGGGGAGTCAAAGGTGGCTTGGGCGTGGTTCTGGCCAACAGCCACTCCCTCGTGTGCCGTGGGACCCTTCAATAGGCGCCGCTCGCTCACAGCACTTGCCCCCACCGGCTGTAAAGGCTACATGGGGGATCGTTGTCACTGTTGTGTGTCCTTGTGTGTGCGTGCGCACGTACCCACGCGCGTCGTCTGTACGCAATTGTGGTGACTCATCGGGTCCCTTTCGACGAGCAAGCCAGCATCAGGACTCATGGTAAGTGAAAATAAAACGTATATATATTTTTTAAAATATTGCTGTTACTTTATGTTTTACTTGCTATCCAGTATTTATTACATTATTACATGCAAATGTACAATATTTCTTCTTTATCTATGAGTCTAACAATGCTTCATTTTTTGTTGAACCGCAACACAATTTCATGACACTGACCGTATGTGCATTTAAATGCAGTACATTGTTCTGTTCCGACTTACGAGCTGTTCAACTTATGAACGGGTCTCAGGAACGGAACTCGTTTGTAAGTCGGACTGCATGTACTTATTCAATTTGTATTTATATATTGTACTTGTTTATTTTCATTCAGTCACTTGCCTAGCTTTTCTATACTTTTGCACTCCGATCGGTTTGTTGTGTTGTTTGTTGTTGTAACTTTCTGATCCACCTCGACTGGACAGCAGTGAAAAAGAGCTTCACAGCTCATAGGATTCTTCCAATCTAAATAAAGTTTCTGATTCTGATATATAGTATAGCTGTTCGCCAACCCACTGCCGAGGGCCTCCCTGTCATAGGAACGTGGAATTTCCACAATTGGCTCAGATTCATCAATAAAGATGAGCACCGCCCAGTGCTCATAGGGGCATAGAGACACTCGGCCTGAAATAGAGACATTAAATTAGAATCAATAGAGTACTGTTACATTCGTGAATTATTTTTTTATATCGTACTCTAAAAGAGTCACTGAGAATAGTCTCCGTGAAGGATTACATTAATCTCCTTATGCTCATCTTAGTGCGGATAAGAGCAGTGACCTGGAAGTGGTGGCACAGTTGTTATATTCGTCATGTATGTCAACACTCTACCACTTGCACAGATGGAGTGAAATACAGACAAACACGGATGACATGTTTCTCCCCAAGCAAATTGAATAATCGGGAGTTCCGCTATACTTGGTTTCCATCGTAATTGACTATTCTTGTGCAGGGTGTAGTATGTTATTAAGGGTGTAGCATGGTTGGTATATGCCCTGGTGCAAGTTATAAAATGCCCCCCCCGCCCTCCCACGTCTTTGTAGACACGCGCCTGGGCCCCTTCCGTCTTTGGACCCCAGCGCAATTGCACCGCCTGCACACTCGATGGCTCGATGTTCTGCTCGCTAAGGGCATTTTCACAGTGCAGGTGGCATTAACACTCAAATTGCCTGGAGCATCAACACTCATGAAAAAACAATGAGATGACATCACTAGGGTGAAGGTTAGTGGTTGGGATTAGGAGATAGAGTTTAGTGTTAGGGATCAGGGTTTTGGATATGGTTAGATTTAGCAGTGATTAAGTGTGTGCTTGCCAACCAAGCAAGCAGACCTTATGTAACATCATTTTTTTACGTGATTGCTAGATGCCCTCATACTTGTTTGATTACCGATCGTAAAAAAAAATGCGGGATGGCAACGATGAAATTACGTTCTTCAATTTTATAAGGCAAAATCAATTACGTGTAGTGGAGCTGTGTCACGGTGGTTAACGGACGGTGCCATTCACCCAGCGACCTGAATTTGATTCCAAGTAACGCCCAACATCGGTGGCGAGTGATATACGAGCCACCAACCCACACTGGCCGGTGTGGTAAAGCGTGATCAAACATCCCCAACGATCGACACGGCGTGGGAAGGCCTTCATTCAGCAGTTGATTGACAAAGGGCTGTAATTTTGTTATACTTTCAATGCATCAATGTAAATACACTTTAGGAACATACTGTATAAGAATGGAGTGTTTTGAATCATTGTTTGGGAAACGTTGAATGTTGCATAGAATTAGAAAATTATAGGAGCCCAATGCAGTACCAAATACAATAACAATAGCTAATGCAATCCAGGTGCAGCATACAGTATGTTAACATGAATGCATATACATTTCACCTGCTTATATAATTGTTTTAATTAGACCCATGTTTTATCTGGATGCTATGAGTCATAACAGTACAGTGCTTTGAAACTATAGCAATAAAAAAGGGCAATGGTTCATTAAAAATGGTTAATTGGAAAATTGCAGTTGCACATTTTTGTTCCATGTTCATATACCATGTAGCTCATCTCTCATTGACGAAACAAACAACGAAAGTAATTTTAAAGTAGTTCATCAAATGAACATCGCATAGAAAGGAGTTACCTCATATAATCACAAGTGAAAACCAACAATTCAGCAGTTAAAATATATCAGCTTACTCGGGAAGTATCATCCAATAACTCCGACGAGGCTCCCATCCAGTTGCGAAGTGTATACTGATGATTCACAATCCACCAATATATCATAGAGTGCACTACGCACATTGTTGCTGTACTGACATAAACGGGCCTCACCAAATTCGTAGAGTAACCTTGCCTATAACCCCCGGCAACACCAGCAGCAGCTGCTTAACAAGCCTGACTGTTGATGAATCTCAATATCTGAAGCCAGTTAATTGTTTCCCCGCTTAAATAAATGATGTCCGTGCAGAAGAGCCATCGGCTTGTGTATGTAGAGAGCCTTTGTGTTCAACCACTGCTGGATGATGGCCTCCCCACGTAATGTGCAAGTCGTGGAGGCTATTTGGCCATTCTTCACGCTGGTCAGTGCAGGTTGGTTATTGGGAGCATAGCCATACGGTACAATCATGGATTTTGCGGATTTACTGCCCACCAAAACTTTTTCAGTTTTTCAGTTTTTATTTATTAGATATAACCATGTGAGCCATGCGGCTTTTGACTCATGTGCAACCGCAACAAACAAAAACATGAACAAGAAACATCTTAAAGTGACTACACGCGACAGAAAAATCCAGGAAAAAACAGCAAAGTCTTCCAGAAAAAAACACCGTATTTCAACGCTGTGTGCATTAAATCCAAATGGGATGCACGTCAAACAATAACAAACATAAGACAATTTAGATTAAAGTTATCAGGCTAACTCTGTACTACAACAAACAAACATGGCTAAACAAAAACATTTTAAAAATCACCTAAATAAAGCTATAAAAACAATGTAACAGTGATCATAGGAACTGTGATTCTAGTTTAACAATAGACGATATACATTACATGTACGACCAAACATTGCAGCCATAGCTGGCTGCATGAGTCAGTTGTGAACTTAACCCCGCAATGCCGATGTACATTATTTAATAAACCGCGAATCCTTGTAAAGCGCGGATTATTGGAGGTTGACGACCGCTCCCGTAATCCGCGGCACACCATGGCAGTCGAATCGCTTCACGGGCCGCTGTCCGTCCATCGAGGTGGGTGCGGAGCTGCAGGAGCACGGCTGCAGGGAAACGCAGACGTCATGTTTTCTTTTATTTTGCAAACATTATTTTTTTGTATTTGAAAACAACTGACTGTGCTGAGGTTTGTTCAGTAGGAAATCACTTTTTTTATTTTAAAACTTGGATAACAAGCCTTTGAAAATGCAAACATTCTTTATCATAGACCCGTATAGCAGACTTGGCACACTTTGGTCTATCGACAACTCGTGCCTCGTAATGTGTGTATAATGTGTATCCATCGCGGATCCGTTTAGCCGCGAGTCACGTGTCATGCTTCCCCTGTAATCCGTGGATGTTTCCAATGTGTCACAAATTAGGATTTGCTTTGGCTCTTTCCTCCCATAATTCGCGGCACACTGCGTTCGCGCGAAACCTATCGCAGAGTGTATGGCGAAACCGCGTATTACAGGATCTCTGTCCACCCAGCAGTATAAATAGGTGCACCAGTTCGTCGATCGAATGTGGTGCTGTTAAAGTGTTGGTAATCCCATATCCCACACATATATATTTTTAAATTATTTTTCTACCTACGTGACTTTACCGAAAGAGCCAAGAATATTAATCCCATATCTTGCAAGACGTGTGTCCAGGGTAGAAGGTAGACACAAATACCCGATGAGAAGCCCTTCCACCAGCAGCTAGTGGGGTGAGCTTGAAATCTCAGACCACACCTTTACCTGTATACCTATACCGTACATGGAACTCAACACGTTTGTCAATAACACTATGGCCATAAAATGGAACATACGAGGGCGACGTTTAAGTAGTAGCCTTAAGTCAGAGCACATCAAGAAGAGGGGCAATTGCCATAAAAAAGTTGCCTATCATATATACTTTTCCTTTTCAGGCCAGAAAAGTCTTATTGATGAACGCGTTGAGTTGTATTATTTTAATTTGTGCTTTTGCACAACTCCAAACGCAGCAGCATTTTCTTATTTTGTACGACGGCTGATGTCGATGCAGAGCAACAACTACAATTTCACATTGAGGTGGTCAAAGCCAGATTATCGGCTGTGATGTCTCTTTCGTATTCGTCGATCAGGCCAATATCATACCTGTCAACCCCTTATCAGTGCCTGCTTATTACAGACCAATTCAGACCTCATTGGTCACCCCGTACCCTTATGAATCTCAACGTTCATCCTAGAAAGTCGCATCACAAGGGAGAAACACAAACAAATAGACAAAAAATGTGCCCCTATTGAAACGGCTGTACGCCGTATGGACCCGAAAACGCAATTTCCCTGTACAAGAATACGGGTACACCGTATGGTCCATAATATACGTTTTAATAGGGTTTTTCCCCTTTTTATGGCAACAAAACTGAAACCTTTCTACAAGGATTCATGTCTGCATTAACCACAATACCTGCAGTCAAAATGCAAACAAAAAACATACTATGATAATATATGCATTGTCCTTGAAACTGATTGGTCCACACCAAGGGACGGCTTTCTTTTGAGCCTCGACCCAATTGGTGCTCGACCAGATGACGCCAGAAGGTGTACAGCTCAAAGACAATGCACTATCAAAGTAATTAGGGCTCGGGGTGAGCATCTACATCATTAGACCTCCTTTGCCAGTACCAAAATGTAATAATAGGGTTTTTTTTGTTAGATCGCGTAAATATAAATGTGCCGTTAAACCCGCCACAGCCAATTAGTAAGGTTTGTCACGTTAACAGAACAAACCAATTCGTTACTAATACAGCACACCGGTGTGTTGGAGACAAAAATCCACGAAGTTTACTCTCTGAGTACGACGTTTCGCCACCAATTACAACTGGCACCGTCAGACGGACAGCCAGGCGTGTTGACAGGCATGCAACATTATTGCGTGCCTGCCAATTATGTTGCATGCAACAAGACCGTTGCGTACTACCTTGTTGCCGGTCGACCGCAGCAGTCGACGACGACGACGGACAGCATCGCGAAAAGCGACGCCAGTTGGCACGCGGCGCGCCTGACGTCGCCGCGTGACGTCACACCGCCTATGCAAATGAGCGCGTCTATTAAAGTGACGTCACCGCGGGTTACCGAGATACGGGACTTGCGCCGAGCGAGCGCTAAGGCGACGGCGCCGCGTCCCGCGCAGGTAAATCCGCTTCCTCGATTCCGTCTCTCTTCTCTCTCGCTACCCCCGCCCTCCCCTGTCTCTCGTCTCGTCTCTCTGCACCTTTGGCAGCTCCGCTCTTCTTTACACCGCCACCACCGTCCCCACCACCGTCCTGCCGCCGTCGTACCTCGGCGGTCCGGAGCCCGTCGCTGCTTCGGTTGGCCGGGTAGCCGGAGCAGGCGAGACCGTAGGCTCGGCCGTGTGCGAGGCCGCGGCTTTTGTTTACCGGGTGTTTTTTTTCATTCTTTCTTTCTGCGGTGGAGTTCTTTGAGCGGATCTAAAATTGAACGCGTTATGGGAGGTTGGTGCTGGGTGTTTAAATAAAGGGGCCAGCTGTCGGTCGTCGCTACGCGCTATCGAGCGTCTTCGTGGATAACGTGGTGGTGGTGGTGGGTGGTGAGTAAGGAGTTTGCGTGGCTGCATTTAGGGGCACGCTGTGATTTAGAATTTGTGTTTATGGATCGGAAAACAAAACTTTAAAACGGCGTCAAAGAGGCACGGAAAGGTGCTCGATTGGAATGGCAACCGAGAGGAAAGTTGAAGGTATGGTTCAAAGTAACTTGCCGAGGTTGAATACGTAATTCAAAGTGGTTAAAGAGGACGTTCACTATATACTTTGCGTGGCCCACATACGGCACGTCGTGGGTTCTATACCGACTCCTGACGCCTGCTGCTGCTGTATATTTGGAGTTTGCGTGTCTTTCTCTCATCATCATCACCACGGTGGCTAAGAGATGTTAACCACCTCGCCTGGTCTACAGGAGGTCGTGGGTTCCATACCGACCCCTGATGCCTGCTGCTGCTGTATACTTGGAGTTTGCGTGTCTCTCTCAACATCATCACCACGGTGGCTAAGAGATGTTAACTACCTCGCCTGGTATAAAGGAGGTCGTGGGTTCCATACCGACCCCTGACGCCTGCTGCTGCTGCTGTATATTTGGAGTTTGCGAGGTCTCTCTCCCCTTGATCGCGTGGATTTTTCTCCGAGTCCTCCACGTTTCACCACCCCCACCCCCCCTCGACATTTACAAAAGCATGCGTGTTTAGAGTGTTTGACCGACGTAGATTTCCACGTTATAAACTCAATTCGTGGTTGGGTCGCTTCCGAAAAAAGATCGATCTAGCAGCTCGGTGAGACCTTACCCATGGTAAAATAACAACGAAATGTTCCCGTAGTTTTAATTGTGTTTAATTATTCGAGTACATTCATGGGCAGGACGCGTCGCAGGCGTGGTGGCCAGTTGTCAAACGTGATGACAGGATGACCGCAGCCACGGAATGGAATGCGTGCAAGAGGACCGCATACCGTGGAGATGGAGCGATGAATGAAACCGGCTCAGGTGCTAAGTGGTTTCAAGCATCGCGAGAGACGGCTGAAGGGGTGGGCTTTCATCCAGCAGTGAATTGATTATTTTGTAGTACCAGAAGTCGAGTTTAAATGGGGAGACGTGAGTGAAAAATGGGTTCGTGATGCAATTTTTTTTTGAATGAGAGTCGGGAACTGAAAATGGAAACAAAAAGACGATGCGTCGTGCTGTTTTTATGTTTACGAGTAAAGTATTTTGTCAATCTTACTGCTGGATGAATGGCGAAACACGCCCTGTCACCATACGACTGGAGGTCTCTGGATTTAAAGTTCAATGCGCTAATGCACCACCGCTCCAGAAATATATCTACTCTGCACCAAATCACATGTTCCAAATGGAAATGCACGCTATATTTAATGAAAACGGGCAAGGCAAATGTAATGTAACATGTATAAACAACGCCATGAAATAAATGTAAACTGGAAATTTCACAACATACAAGATTTTGAGAGTAAGTGCTACTTTTTATACATTTTTTTCCACTGCTCTACAGGTAACATACAATTGTTTTTTTTCTGCAATTCTCTAGTTTACGTTGTTGGTAGTTTCTAAGTTCGCTTGTAACGATTTTTGGTTAGTTGTATCGTGTCGTTTATATTGTTGGATTGCAATGATTATCATCGAGTGCGCCTTGGTTGTGTTTGGATTGCCTTCGTCTGTCACGCCTTGTCCATGACATCGGTGCTGATAATCCTGAGCGCTGCGTGTAACTTTAAACTGACGCATGGTAGCAACGCGATTACAGCACGATACTGGAGTTGATTTTGTTTGTACAAATTCAGATCTTTAAGCTACTTGCTTCGCGAGGGGGTTGTAAAGTGATTTTTGTCTCTCTTGATGGAGGTGAAATGGAATAATTTATGGGAGTGCCATGTGTTTTAGGAAATTAATTACTGTTCAAAAGCTACTGAATTTTCGGCTGACAATTTTAACAAATGTTGTAAGACAATTTTAGAATGTTTAGTATATACAGCAAACAACTCAGTGTAAACATGTATAATTCAATGTGGCTGGTTACTTTTTGAAAAAAATGCTTCAACATTCCTCTTACATATTTCAATACATTGGTATTTTAGCCGTACGGAACTGGTGTTTTGCCATTTCTGAATGTTAAAGTGAACAGTACTTTGAAAACGTGGTCATTCAGCACGTACATGTGTCTAGGTTATGCTAAATTCCGCACATCTTAAGACTTAACAAAATAGCACCCGCCGGCATGCTTCAATAAGTGTTTGAATAGACATCGCATGAACTAACTTGGTGCTTAATGGGCTGCTTTATCGGCAATTGTCGGAGTGGCTTGGGTTACTTTGTGTACAGTTGCTCTTGACCGTGTTCCTTTACATAATGCATTGTCTCACTGCACGTGCGGCGGTGTGTCTGTTGCTATGTTTTGGCCGGTAGTCGTGGTAGCACACTGCGCTGTTTTTACCTTGATAACACGTCTTGCAGGTCCTATCAAAATCTTCACTGGTCATCACATTTCATGGGTAATAGCTGCCAAGTCGCGAAGGGACTGATACTATTCCATACATTTTTTTCTGCGAGGCATTTCCACACAATAAGCCACTTTGCTGAGCTATCATTTGTGGCCAGGTCGCTTCTGAAAAGTAAATTGATACATCAATGGGCTTTGCCTGGTAGGATGGGGATAGTTTCGTTTTAGTTTTATGTTTTGGCGTGATTTGTTTCCTTTTCTTGTACTCTGCACCACTATCGTGTTGTTGTATTGTTGTTGTAACGTTCTTACCCGCCCCGACTGGACATCTTTGAAAAAGAGCTTTATAGCTCATCGGATTCCTCCAGTATATATAAATATTCTGATTCTGTACTGCTGTTTGGTTTTGTACAGTTGTCTGTTAACTGTTGTGAGATATTGGGTTAACTTTTACAATCAAGAGCTGTGTGACATCAGTGGATTGTAAGAGCCCATGTTTTTTTCAGATAAATGAAGTGTAAAGTTGTGTTTTAGTCATTCTACAAGGCTATAGTGTACTGTCTATACGCATATATGTTTGTACAGTCCTGTACGACAGTGTACAGTACATGCAATGGATGTACCATATTCAGTATAGTATATGAACTCTTAAATACTGTATACAGTGCTCTATTGTGTTAGTGTGTGACAACTGATAAATTACTAGTAGGACAAGGTTACCGTACTTTTTAAGTCAAGATTCATCGTATACCAGACGGAGACAAGTTCCACTGTATTTTCATGTCGGTAAAGGTTACAGATCAGAATTAATGCTTTTTTTTCCCCACACTTTAAGAAAAAAAAAGAGTTTGCGCTGCTGGAACTACTTGACTTCGAGTATACAGTGCAATCGGTTCTGTCAAATTTAATGAAAGTCCACTCTCAGAATTTCCAGTGTGTATTTCATGAAGATGTGGTCAAATGTACACACAGGAGTGACTCGGGACAGAGTGTTGAACCAGTAACCCTGAGACCCTGAGTTTGAGTCCAGGCACCCAAACGTAATTAAACCGAGTTCTCTGTGTGGAGTGAGGCAAATCCAATTTGCAGCTCTGAGAGTTAAATTGTTGGTTGTACTGCATTCAAGCCACACAACAACGAGCTGACAGCCACAGCTTGCTTTTATTTTTTTTAAACTGCACAGAAATGTTTTATGTTTTAATGATGTGGTGGCGCTTTGGGTGGCAGGTATGTGCCAGAAAGTCACCACATTTCAATCAAAAAAAATTTGACTACTAATAAAGTGTTAAAGCTTTCGTGACTGCATAAAATTATTCATTGTTTTTTTCGGTAAAGTCACGTATGTAGAAATACAATAAAATTATGTTAAAACAATCACGACGTTTCGATCACAACGCAAGCGATCGTCACCTGATGAAGATAGCTTGCGTTGCGATCGAAACGTCGTGATTGTTTTTTGTTTTAACATAATTTTATTGTATTTCTACATACGTGACTTTACCGAAAAAAAACAATGAGTAATTTGACTGCTGTTATACGACTAACGCCATTATCATAGCAGAGGTGAGGGGAAGTGCACCCCCTATTGTGTGAAGATGACAGGATACGAATATTCTTCAGAGAAAGGTAATGTGAAAATCTCTTGCACAGCCATTCTCGTGGCTAGTGCTAATAGTGCATGAAGAATTACATCGAAAAAGATAAATCATTAAATATGCTTCATGAGGGGCATTCGTTTTAGTACTGCGCCTTGAGAGAGAGAGAATGTGATCTCTGTTTACAAGAGTCTGGACCCTAGTTTGTTTAGCAAACCTAATAAGGAGTTAAAGACGTGAGGCACATAGAGCTACTTATCTAACACACATTACATCTGACACATTGATATAAGTCATTTGTTAAAAATTAACTAATAGTAAAAACATACTTCCAATAATGTGAACGTCTCTCAAAATGTATTGGTTGTTACGAGTCATTGGTTCAAATCTGAGTTTAAAGCCAGTGCCCTGATGAGGCGTCTGTCTCGCTTTATACAGGTAGTCCTCTACTTACGATGGAGATGCGATACGA